TTCGTAGCAAAAAGCATGGACTATAGCCTATGTTTTTGGTCGATTTTTGTCCATTTTCACACCTTTTTGGAAGATATGCATTATTCGTGAAGGATGCATACTAAGGCATTTTGGGTAAAAAGCATGGACTATAGCCCATGGTTTTGGTCGATTTTTGTCCATTTTCACACCTTTTGGGAAGATATTCATTATTCCTGAAGGATGCATACTAAGTCATTGTTGGCCATTTTGGGGCAAAAAGCATGGACTATAGCCCATGGTTTTGGTCGATTTTGGTCAATTTTCACACCTTTTTTTTGAAGATATGCATTATTCATGAAGGATGCACAATAGGTCATTTTTGGCCACTTTGAGGCAAAARGCATGGACTATAGCCTATGGTTTTGGTCGATTTTSGTCCATTTTCACACCTTTTGGGAAGATATTCATTATTCCTGAAGGATGCATACTAAGTCATTTTTGGGTAAAAAGCATGGACTATAGCCCGTGGTTTTGGTGGATTTTGGTCCATTTTCACACCTTTTGGGAAGAAATGCATTATTCATGAAGGATGCAAAATACGTCATTTTTGGCCATTTTGGGGCAAAAAGCATGGACTATAGCCCATGGTTTTGGTCGATTTTGGTCCCTTTTCACACCTTTTTGGAAGATATGCATTATTCATGAAGAAAGCAAAATAGTTCCTTTTTGGCTAATTTGTGGCAAAAAGCATGGACTATAGCCCATGGTTTTGGTCGATTTTGGTCCATTTTCACACCTTTTTGGAAGATATGTATTATTCATGAAGGATGCAAAATACGTCATTTTTGACCATTTTGGGGCAAAAAGCATGGACTATAGCCCATGGTTTTGGTCGATTTTGGCCCATTTTCACACCTTTTGGGAAGATATGCATTATTCATCAAGGATGTATACTAAGTCATTTTTGGGGAAAAAGCATGGACTATAGGCCATGGTTTTGGTCGATTTTCGCCCATTTTCACACCCTTTGGGAACATATGCATTGTTCATGAAGAAAGCAAAATTAGTCATTTTTGGCCATTTTGTGGCAAAAAGCATGGACTATAGCCCATGGTTTTGGTCGATTTTGGTCCATTTTCACACCTTTTGGGAAGATATGCATTATTCATGAAGGATGCAAAATAGTTCATTTTTGACCATTTTGGGGCAAAAAGCATGGACTATAGCCCATGATTTTGGTCGATTTGGTCCCATTTTCACACCTTTTGGGAAGATATGCATTATTTATTAAGAATGCAAAATAGGTCATTTTTGGCATTTTTTGGGCAAAAAGCATGGACTATAGCCCATGGTTTTGGTCGATTTTKGTCCATTTKCACACCTTTTTGGAAGATATGCATTATTCATCAAGGATGCAAAATAGATCATTTCTGACCTATTTTGGGCGAAAAGCATGGACTATAGCCCATGGTTTTGGTCCATTTTGGTCCATTTTCACACATTTTGGGAAGATATGCATTATTCATGAAGGATGCATAATAGGTCATTTTTGGCCATTTTGGGGCAAAAAGCATGGACTATAGCTCATGGTTTTGGTCGATTTTGGCCCATTTTCACACCTTTTGGGAAGATATGCATTATTCATCAAGGATGGATACTAAGTCATTTTTGGCCAAAAAGCATGGACTATAGCCCATGGTTTTGGTCGATTTTGGCCCATTCTCACACCTTTTGAGAAGATATGCATTATTTATGAAGGATGTATGTTGTATTTCTAGTAGCTCAGCTCTGAAGAATGTAAAATGCAAAAAGGGGAATTTTTTGAGATTTTTCGCGGAATACCTGGTTTATAGGGTGCAAACACTAAAAGTGTGCAAGACTTTGCACTATTTAGTAGTAAATAGTGCTAATTAAACAATAGAAAACAATAGGATTAGCATAATTTAGCAGTATTTAGAGGTATCTATGTTACACACTTATAGTGTTTGTACTCTATAAACAATTTCACATTTACTTAAAATTATCATTTGTATGGGGTACGATATTAATGACCATGATAAGGCGTTCGTCGAAACGTGTTAATTTATGAAATAGTCAATGTACTTTTAAAAATTTATTTTTTTAACTTAAAGTATTTATTTTATTAAATATTCTTTTGCAAAATTTCTTACAATTCTTGGAATTAAATTTAAAATCTTTTAAAAAGATAATATTAAGATATTATCAATGTTTAATGGATATGCTGAGTGATTTAAACAAAGAGGAAGTAATGTGTTGCATGTGAATGTTGAAAAATCGTTCAACTAAAACCATCACTTATTTACTATATTGCTTTGGCTTCCTTTAAAATTGATCTTATTATATTATTCAATTAAAAACCAAATTTGTTGAAATGACGTCATATGTAGATATTTTTGGATATTACGTCACAAATAAAAACTTTGTAGAGATGACGTCACATGTAAAACTTTGTGATGAGATACCACGTGATTATTTCCCGCAACTGTTGGTTACTATGGCAATGACTTGATTTAAAATTTCTACTAAAATGTTATAACGTTTCCTTCTAAAGCCAACTTTGTAGAGATGACGTCACATGTAAAACTTTGTGGACATGACGTCATGTTAAAGCTTTGTGATTAGATATCACGTGATTATTTCCGCTATTTTGGATCTCGCACTTTTTCAAATCAATTGGTTATCTAAGTTTTCATACCTTACTTTAGAAGATGGCTGCCACGAGAAACTAACGTCCAATAAAAAACAAGTTTTAGGATCAAATTATGATGATGATGATGATGATGATGATGATGATGATGATGATGATGATGATGGTGATGATGATGATGATGATGATGATGATGGTGATGATGATGATGATGATGGTGATGATGATGATGATGATGATGGTGATGATGATGATGATGATGATCTATAAATATTGATTATCTTTATCTTGAATATCAAAAAGAGCTGAATTATTAAATTAAAACGACTAAGAGTACGAAATAATTCAAATACAAACGATAGAATATTGGAAAACTTCTAGCGACTGAATTGTAGTTCAAAGACATGATTTTACAGGGGTGAGGTGGGGAGCCGTTAAGTTATTTATGGATCTTTTTAGTTCAGTTGTTAACGTATTTCCGGGACCAGCAAAAAGCAAAAACTGGTTTCAATGATTTAACGTTCAGCTGAAACCACAGGGAGCCCAATTTAGTTGAAAGTGAATTGTTAAAATAAAATCGGAAAAACTAAATAATTTTTTTTAAATTCGAGGTCTAGATAATGAGCTCCGAAATACGAATGAAAAAAAAAATCGATAAAAAATGCACTAGAACATTTTTTTTCGCGCGCGCATTTGTTTTTCTATATGGTAATGATAAAAAGGTAAATTATACACCGTGAAAAGATGAAAAAACTTACTGACGTTTCGGACGCTAGTCCTTCGTCTTTTACTCTTTTACTCCGACGAAGGACTAGCGTCCGAAACGTCAGTAAGTTTTTTCATCTTTTCACGGTGTATAATTTACCTTTTTATCATTACTGTTTCATTAAAAACACCGACGCAGCTCACACTAGTTTTTAGCTAGTTATCTCTTATTTTACTATATAATTTGCCTATGGTATCTAATGTCGCTCTTATGTATATATACTCCTAATTATTTATTTCTTCCCATTTTATTTTCACCATTCACTTTCAACTAAATTGGGCTCCCTGTGGCTTAAACAACAAATTCTGTCATGAAGACAAAATCAATTTTGGGTTCCCTGTGTTCCCAGTCCCACTTGCCACGCCCTTTCTAAAAACTGTCCATCATGTTTATAATTATAATAAAATTAATAATAAATATGTAATATCATCTAATAACTAATATTAATATTAAGCTGATAAATACCGCAGATACCAGTTCAAATCTGAAATTGAAACAAATTGAAATATTAATAAATTATCTGTAATAAATGGATAATAGATATATATCTTATTCGACATTTCAGGGTACAGTACGTTTGGATAATTATTCGAAAACCTATATGAATGTTAACCCACTCTCTCTCGTTCATTTTATACCACAGGGATACCATGTTTCTAAGTATCACCTGCACTCCACCTTTACAGCAAGGCTTTCCTTTCTCCATGCTCATCCAGCCCCTCTCGCTCATTTTAAACCACAGGAATACCACGTTCATAAGTATTACCTATTAATTTGTAAAACACTAGCTCCACCTAAACAGCACGAAGGCTTTTCTTTCTCCATACAACATCGTGTCAGCTTCGCATTATCTCTCGGTCTTGGACAGTAGGATCTCTGTGATGCTCCCGAGTCTGCGCAATGGCTCCCACCGGGTTTACAGCAATTTGCTTGGTTGTCATAGCAACATACTTGTGTTATATTCTTTACTCTGCTCCAGTAATCTTGTGGGCATTGAAATGGATACCGCCAATCTGCTGGACACGAGTTTTTCCCTGGAAAATATATAGTTAATAAATATAGTAATAATAATAATAATAATAATAATGATAATAATAATGATAATAATAATAATGATAATATACGTCGTATATATCTATATAGATA